GTTTCATGGTTTGTTCGTGATTCATGCTGCTTCAATATCTCATTTGAACGACGGGTTCTTATAAAGTTAATACACTTGAAAATATTTAAAATTTCTATGTATTTTGGCTTGCTATTTATTTGCGAATAACCGATTTTTATTTTTGGTATTTTTCTGGCTTCAATATTGCATTATTATTGCAGCAGTGACTTGATTTGTCTTAGAATTTTTTCATCTTTTTTTTAAATGCATATTTCGATCGTCAGCTTTGTCACCGCTTCTGTTTTGCTTTGGTGCGCATATGGGTTGCTTTTCTTTAGCGCTTCGCTGATGTCAAGGTTACGTTGCTTGGTAAACTACGTTGTGGATATTATTTTTATGAAAAATGGTCATGCGACGATTGTGTAGCATCGTTGAAGTGCTTGTGAAGTATGCGAGTATGATCTAAATGGTGATGGAATTTTATAAATGACCAGAGGGATTTTAATACATAAATATCTGCTTCTCAAAAATCACAAAATTAAAAAAAAAAAAAAAAAAAAAAAATAAATTAATTTACAGACTTATAATCGGGGGTCTTTGTTGGTAAGGCTTAGCTGTGTCTTAGTTTAAGATAGGTTAGGTTATAGGTAATAGCTTGGTTATCCGTTCGCTTACCATGCGCTCGCATAAAGCATTATTCTGTAATGATACCAACCACTGTAAACAGAGTGATAATGGTGCGATCAATACGTATCAGAGTTTAAGATCTTATCTCGTTGATTTGTACCTAACCGGATCTGCTTAGTAACGGAATATGTTGGTTCTTTCGTCCGTATTTCGTTTGCCGATTTGAGTGGTGTTCACACGAGGACTAGAAGGCGTCCGCATCGTGCTTACAGTTAACTCAGCGCAAGTCAGTGCAACCCCCTCCCTTGCAAGCTTGTCTGCGGCGCATGAAAAATGCTACAGTTCAAGATAAGAGTATTTAAAGTTTGATTTAAAATTTCCTATCATTTTTTTCCGAATATTGTAAATAAATGAAACGAATTTTCGCAACTAAGGCATTGTGCCATTTTCAGTGGTTACACATCTCTTCACACTGTAGGAAAATCAACCAATAACAAAAAAAAATATATTAAAAATGTTATTTTTAGTTTTGTATGCCAAAACAACAAGGAGTAATAATTACCGAAGATTTTTCGAAGATGCCTAAGTAGATATATACTTTCTTACAAGCACTTGACTTGAATTAGATAATTAAAGCAAATTTTTAAATTTTCAACGCTTATAAGACATACATATGTAAAAATTACAATCTTCGTGATTTTACGAGGCTTTGCAAAGTTTGTCTTTTAAATATTCGAGTTCCTTACGATTTATTTATTTTTTTGCCTTTCCGGGTTGTTTTGGAATTTTTTCGATCTGTGACGTTACTTTTTTATTTTTGGCGCTTTTCGATATATTTGGCATTATATTCTTCGCCTTTTCGAGGTTTTACGGAACTCTTCGGTATTCTTCGGGATGTTTTCGAGAATTTTTGGGATTTTCGGTATCGTTTATGGTTAATTCGGAACTGTTCGGTATCCTTATGGTATGATTTTCGGCATAATTAAAAATTTTTTGGAATATTTTCCGGAAATTCTCGGAGTTTTTTGGAAAATTTCAAAATTTTCTGGATTACCTCGGAATTTTTAAAATCTCTAATGCTTTTTATTATACTTATATGAAATACATCGAGATTTTTCTGGAGTTTGGGATTTTCTTGTGACTTTCACGAATTCTTTGTGTCTCTTTGTAGGCCTTTCGAAGAACTTTTCGAAACTGTTGGTATTCTTCGATACTTCTCTGTATTTTTGCGAGGTCTTTCGTGGTTTTTCGTGTTTTATTTTTCCCAATCTTTTGGTGTTTTCCAGGATTTTACGAAGACTTTTCGTTACTTTTTGTAAAATTTTTTTTGAGACTTTTCGAGATTTTTTCAGGTACATTATTCGGGGTTTCGGGATGTGTGTTGATGTAGAACTACTTTTAAGATGTAACTATATATCTTAACTACATATTTATAAAATTTTGTGAATGCCAAGGGTCGGTTACTTCGATAAAGGACAAAACCCTGCGCTTTCTTTTGAAACGAAGTGCGGGGTTTCACTATTTTCATAATAAAAAGCTGCAATTTATTCCAAAGACAAAGTGAAAACTACTCTTTTATTTAAACTGCTTAAACGAGAAGAAGAACTTTATTTTAAGCATCTACTTTTACACACCTGTGCCTCGCCCGCACACGCATAAAGGCGTACCCGTGTGCACTTAATGACCACCGCAAGTGCTCAAAGTAATTTTCTGCGTAATCGCAAGCGCATTTATGTACATATATTGTATGTAGAACGAACACAAATACCCACCCCATTTTGCGCCACACTAACGTACGTACATATAGCCTCGTATGTTTGTACATTGAGAGCAACCAACCACCCACCGTTTGCATAAAACACCCTCACCATTATTTTTTTATGTGTGTCACAACACAAATTTACACCTCTTTCACCTCATTTTCAAGCCATATTCCAACCTTATGCAAAATTACTTTTGACTCTGTAACCACGAAGTCATTATATTAAACGCGGTTGCATTGGCGGTGATGGCTGTGGCGAGAAACAAACACACATACACACATCTTTTCGACTTTAGCTATTAATATACCTGCTGCTTCTGCTGGTGACCCACTCACAATGGCAGTTTTTTTGCACAAAAATTTTCTTTTAAATGAAATCCCATTAAATTTTTCACATTTGCGCCTTTATTTAATGGGCTGATGGGCGAGATACATATGTATATGTATAGTACCTATGTAAGGTGAAACACAAATCGCAAGCACCAAAACCTTTAGAATTTTATGAATGCAAAGCGGTGAGCATGACTTGCGCGTACAGTTTTTTTTTTTGGTTTTGAGCAAAAAGATTTCCAAGCGGACACGCAAGTGATGAGTTTTACCTTTCATACATACATACACAGTCATTTCTTTTCCCATACGCGCGCTGCCAGTTAGACACAGTTCATTTTGTATGACTCTTTGTGTTATGTAGATATGCCTTGTATGCATGAATATGCAAATCTGAAAAGTTCTTCTCGGCACAGATGCTGGAGGATTATAGAGGAAATGTGTAAAAAGTGTGGCAAATGCATTGAAATTAGAATTGCGTTGGATTTTTTGTGTGTGTAAAATGTATGCGTTCTCTAATATTTTTATTGCAATGCTTATGATTTGGAAGCTTCTTGGCTTTGCTCAACAAGACAGGATTGGATATTAATTTCATGATAATCTTACCACTGGATCGGAAGAAACATGTTTTTGCGAAAAAAATTGGTGGGTGGGAGCTTTTCGCCTTCTTTAGAAAACTGGGCATGGATTGAGGCGCCCGAATTTCATTACTTCAACAATTTCGGCCATTTGATATTTGAGAAGTGCACGCAATCTGCTGTCCCTTTTTGCATATTTTTGTATCAAAACGGACAGCCCAAAAACAAAAACAAATCGATTTAATAGTTTTCCAAATATCTCGAGAAGAGGGCGAGGAAAAAATTTGAAAAAAATCACACATACACACACCAAAATTCTCTATGAAAATGAATATTTCTGTTTTGGTATGGAACGCCCCATATATATGCTTTGCATTCGGTTTGGGACCAGTTATTTGGAGATGTAGCATATCTTTAGGCATCAGGTGTTGCTAGTGACCTAAACAGTAATTTGTCGCAAATCTGTGCACTTGACAAATAGTTTTGCTTGATCTTTTGTCAAAAAACTGCGCCAAAAACTATGCCGCAAAAACTTTACTTTAAGCGCTTTAAAAATACACAAACATTATCATTGTAAATATACTAAATAGTTAGTCAAATTATAGCGGCATATTTTCCGACGCAGTTTTTTGACGAATAATCCCGCTTGTCTATTTGTAAAGTACACATAATTGGGGGACTTAATATTTATGTTGTGGCATATGTCGGCAGTAACTGGTATACACGAAAGCCATAGAAATACTCCTGAACTTTCAGCCCGTAGACCTTTTTAGGAAACAGTAAGAATAAATGCACTGTGAAAATGGAAAGACACCAGATTCGGTCACACCACCATTCTAACCAACTACCCCGATACATTTAGGTCCCCAGATTACAAAACACCACCAGTGGAGCTCGAGAACAAAATCTTCGCTCATACCTCTTCGAGGAAGGACTGGGAGGACGACTCGGTCTGGGCCACCAAGATAATTCTACAGCGATCTACGTGGATGGCTTTAAATAAATCTAAGAGTAGGGAGTGGGATACCCTTAAAGAACCTCTCCTAAGACCTCTGCTTTAGGCTGCCGGACCAATGCACTGTCTTCCAAGTAGAACTCGCGGCCGTTAAGGAGGCTGCACTTTGGCTTATCGAAACTTCTCTTAACCTGCCCTTAGTAACTATATACTCCGATATCTAAGCAGCTAGATTGGTGAGACCTCGTCGATAATGGCGATAGAACGTAAGAAAGTCTTTAACGATTAAGCTTCAAAGTCTACTACCTACATTGTGTGCCAGGTCAAAGAGACATTCGAGGTTATTGTGCAGCGGACAAGCTTGCGAGGAACGGAACCACCCTGTCTGACTAGAAAATCTGGCAAACCCTCGACAGAAAAAGATCCTCATTCGGTTAGAACGCCCTCTACTTAGGCTGGTGACCGGTATTATTGCGGGCCACTACTAGAGTGGGCTTGCCGGCTAATGACTTCTGCGAAAGTTGCCCGGGTATGAATTCGATCTCTCAATTGGCAGCGCAACAGCCCACTGGGTCTAAGTGTGCCTCTATCCTACGTTGGACGAAGGCAGCCGCTTCAACCTAACCTAAACTAAGACACTGAGTGCATCCACAGTCCAGGTCTTTGCCATTGCTACTTTTTTTGCGAAGGTGTAGTTTAAAATATAAGTTAGTAACGAGTTTTCTGTTTCCATTTAATAAATTAGTATTCAAAACCTTTGCAAATAATGTTTTATTTCATTTTCAGATCGCTATACTCAAATCCATTGAGCGCCAGCAGCAACGAAACTGAAATGCACAAATTCAAATACCTGATGCGACTACTTTAAACCATCGATGTTGAATGCGCCACTTTTGTTAGTTGTGTCTCCCACCAACAAAGCAATTACCGCACACACACACCCACAATGCGGCAACCCCAAAAACCAATTTCGAAACCACTAATTAAATCCCTTCAGTCCTGCGAGTAAAATCAACGCCACACTACATATTTCAGTTGATTTACCGTGTCGCACGCGTCAGAGTCAGAGCTTTCACACATCCGAGTGGCGCCACCAACTACCCACACCAACGCAACGTAACGCGACGTGACACAATCACAACGATAATGGAAATAGAAGAACAACCGGACATAAATATGCCAACGACGGGCGAAACGAGCATCTCAAACGGCACACCGATAGTTGGCCGACGCAAAACAACAACAACAATGCCACTTGGAAGCCCAGCAACACTCACTGCAGTAATACTAATTTTCAACATAACCTCAGCCGCATTAACTTTAGCTGCCGCGGTAACATTGAAAACAACAGAAGCGGCTGCAGCGGCGCCAGGACAGCAGTCGATGAACAGCACAATTGGCGCAAATTCCAATGGAAGCGCAGCATTCATAAGTGATGCACACGTTAACACAACGACCAGCGCCTTGTCGGCGTCCACTGCGACCGCAGATGTGCCGCTTGTTGCAACTACAATGCCTTATGCAGAAAGTGGCAGCAACAGCGGTGCGACGAGTACCAGCGCAAATGCGCGCATCAGTGGCAGCGTCGGCAGTGCGGTTGAGTTGCGCGACGAGGAGCAGCGGACCGATTTAATCAACAACAAATGGGTGCAAATCATCTTCTGCCTCATCTATGCGACAATATTCGTGTTGGGCATTTTCGGCAATGTGCTGGTGTGCTATGTCGTGTTGCACAATCGCGCCATGCAAACGGTGACCAACATCTTCATCACGAACCTTGCGCTCTCGGACATACTGCTGTGCGTGCTGGGAGTGCCATTTACGCCGCTCTACACCTTCATGGGTCGCTGGGTGTTCGGGCACACACTCTGCCACCTAGTTACGTTCGCGCAGGGTTGTAGCATTTACATTTCAACATGGACGCTCATGTCAATTGCCATCGATCGTGTTTTCGTTATCGTATTTCCCTTCCGGCCGCGCATGAAACTCTCCACCTGCATACTGATCATCGTGAGTATTTGGTTATTCTCGCTGCTGTTCACAATGCCCTATGGCATATTCATGAAAGTGGTCGTGTCAGAGCAAGCTAATATCGATGAATCGCTGATTAACAGTACCTTACAGCCGCTCGTTGTCGTGAATGACTCCAATATTGCGCACAGCACTTATGTTGTTTCGTCTGCGGTCACAACGGCTTCAGCGCACGTACTAGATGTAACGACGACCAGCTCAGCTGCGAGCGTGACTGAGGCACTAGACGATGCCGCTACTTACACTATTACCACCTACTGCGAAGAGAACTGGCCCTCGGAGTCCATTCGTCAGGTGTTCGGCTTTGTGACCAGCTCATTGCAGTTTATATGCCCCTTTGGCGTGATCACCGTCTGCTACATTTGGGTGTCGATAAAGTTAACTATGCGCGGCTCAAAGCCCGGCTGTCGGTCGGTGCAGCGCGAGGAGGCCGATCGCGAGCGCAAAAAGCGCACGAATTATATGCTCATATCGATGGTCGGCGTGTTTGCCATTTCGTGGATGCCCATCAACATGGTCAATATGATGGATGACTTCTATGAGAAATCGAATGAGTGGCCCTACTATACATTCCTATTCTTCGTTTCGCACTCGATCGCCATGTCCTCCACCTGCTACAATCCCTTCCTCTACGCCTGGTTGAATGAGAACTTCCGCAAGGAGTTCAAGCATGTGCTGCCCTGTTTTAATCCTTCCAATCATAATGGCATGAACTGGCGTGGTGTGCGAAATCGTTCGGATCGCAATACCTGCGGGCCCCGGTTATATCACGGCAATGGCTGTGGCGCAGGTAGTATGGATATCGACGATGCCGATGATAATGGCATAACACAGGAGACCTCGTTGGCCAGACCAAAAGACAGGCTGACAATCGTGCCACGTGAACCGACTTATGGCAATGGCAGCGGTTGTGGTGCCTTGTCTCCGAATAGAGGTCTTAACTCGGCGCTGGTGCATAATTCTCATGTGGTGGATATAGTAATGAACGATAAGGCTCAACATCGGCCGCGTCGTACTACGACGGATGATGACTGCATATCGGGAGATGAGCAGACCGTGGAGATGCGATTCTCGGAGACACCGTTTGTGAGTTCGGACAATGCGACGGGCACCAGTACGATGGAGGCGAGCAGCAGCAATGAGGTGGGCGAGCGAGGGTGTAACTGAGGAAGGGTGAGTTTAGTGAGTAAGATGGGTGGGTAAAATCGGGCGGAAAATATAGAGATTGAAATTGCGAAGAAAGGAAGCTGATTAGAATAAAGGTACGAAAGTAGGGGAAAAAGAGATTAAAAGCAGGGATTTTAAGGGTTTTTAATTTTATTATTAAAATTTCCTATCGAAGAATTTCTACAAACTTAAAATTTAAAAACTGTTTTTGTATTTAAATATATTGACGAGGACAACATTTTTTATTTAATAACAATCAGTTGAAAAAATCTTCAATGCCAAATTTCAACCTCGCCTCAATTTCCAGGTGAAACTGCAAACTTGCGAGACACGTTGATTAAAAATAGGCTAACTTGATTCAATACACAGAATTAAAAGATGCGTTAACTGTTTGATACACGTAAGTTCATATGCATACAGATTAACAGGACAATTCTGGTAACCTTTTTTCAACACACCACTGCCTTACGAAAGACAATCATTTTTTTTAAATTGAAAACTAAAAACTTAAATTCTTTTTTAAACAAAAACTAAACATTAAGGGAAATTTATTAAAAAGAAAGAAAAACCAAACTGAAAAACAAAATTAGCTAAATTCCTTCAAAGCATAAGATAAACTAAAAACATATTAAAACAAGTAAGAAAGTCTAAGTTCGGGCGGAGCCGAACACTAAATACCCGGCGCAAGTATTAAATATATGACTTACACCTTTCCGAAAGCTACCGCTACATGGTAAGCCGAGGTGTATCAATTTTGAGTAAATTAGCGTCCTTAAATTTCGAAATATTGAAGTTTCAAGCATTTCTGAAATTTAACGTTAAATGAAAAGCGGCCTCAATTTCAGTCCGATTTCAACAATTTTCAACATTTTGCTTTTATGTGACAAGCACAATAACCATACCGTGTTTGGTACAAATTGCTAGAACGGTTAACGAGATACATAGATGTGATCATAAGTGGGCGGTGCCACGCCCATTTTCCAAAATTTTCTTATAAGCGTATTTCTTGGTAAAGAATTGTTGCAAACATAAATTTTGAATATATTAGCTTTATTATTTACTGATTTATCGAAGATTTCGTATTTCTCTAAATTACCGTTATATGGGAGGTAGGCGTGGTTATTGTCCGATTTTTCCCATTTTCAATACCACCCGTCCTACGCCCGAAAGAAGTACCAAGTTTCGTTAAGATATCTCGATCTTTACTCGAGTTATCGTGTGCACAGACGGACGGACAGACGGACGGACGGACGGACGGACAGACAGTCACCCCTTAATCGATTTCTCTTTTCATTCTGATCATTTATGTATACATTTGGCTATATCTATCTCGATTCGTTTTGCCTGTTACCAACAACCGTTATATGAACAAAGTTGTGCACAAGTGCGCTCGGGTATAAAAAGAAAAAAATGAAATAAACAAAGGAAATAAGCTTCAAATAATTACATAAATAAAATAAAAAAAATATTTTTCTTCCTAATACAAAATCTAAAAATAAAAATAAATTGCTAAAAAAAATTTAATTAAATAAAAAAATAATTTAGATAAGTTCCTTAAACATTCAATGAAATTAAAAGAATAATTTTTCTTTTGAAAACTAAATGTTATGTAGAAACGTTATCTTAAAATATAAAGAAACTTAAACTAAGGAAAAATAAATTTAAAAAATAATTTTTTTAAGAGTTGAATGAAAAAAGTAACTTTTTAAAAGAATAAATTATAAAATTTAAAAGGAAATTATATTAATAGCCGGTTTAATCACCAATTTAAATTGAAAATGATTTTTTGTTTTCTGTCAATTTCCGTATAAAATTTAAAAAATTAAAATCATTTTTCATTTAGTATCAAAACATTTCTTTCTTTTTTACAATAAGCCCTGATGGGCACTTGGGTGTCTGAAGAGATAACTATGAACACACCCTCTAAACCCTTTTCAAGGTTTAATCTGGCACAGATCGATATTGCTAGCACCATGACCCGAACGAATTTAGGCAACAGCGAGTCATTAACAATCGCAGTTGTTCTTTTCTCCATTTTTGAGCCGTCTATGTAATAATGAACATATCTAGGAACAAGATGAGATAGTGCATTTTCACCAGATCTCTCGGTCGGAGATTTTGACTCGAAATATTTGCGTCTTCTCAACACTGGAATTTTACATCCAACAACTTTCCATTACTTGTTCTTGAAGAATTCTGATAGATCTTTCCAGTTGCATCCCCCTCGAGGATGCTGTAGCGGAGCTCATCCCGATTGCGCAAGTTCCCTCGTAACCACATTCAAGCGAAGAGAGAGTTTTGCTTCGCTTGCTTCACTCTTTACAAATCCCTTATCATTCCTCCCCGTTTATGCCGTACAGAAATGTAGAGAATGCTGAACAAAGTTGACAAGGCTATGGGGACGTTCGACAGAAATATTGAACGCAAGATCAATGAATGTCTTCGCGTGCGCGAGGCTTACCGAAGAAGATGCTATGACGAACTGAACGAGTTTTTTTTTTAACGACGTGGCCATACTTAAGGGCATAAAAATTCAACGATTACGCTGGACACGACATTTCGTTAGTATGGACCCTAAACGACAAACGGCCGTCTTTAGTGAAAAATAAAAAGACAAATGAAATTCTGGCACACAAGTGCTTATTTTTCCGACAATCACGAGGGTTAAATTTCTTGTTGTCAAGCCACTGTTTCACTGTTCTCACTCATTTGATTAACACACCATTCTTTCCCCAGATTCTTTTGCCTTTCAGGCAGTTATGTGTGCAATGTAAAAATCATTTATCCCGAATTTTATGAGCTACAATTGCGGAAGTAAGCGGATTAGGATATTGCCTACAGGCAAGTACTGAACAATGGAACGAATGTGCGCTTAACAAAAGATATGCATACTACAGAGCTACTAATAGTACCTTGCATGTGCAGATATATGTATAAGCCGCACTTGTATATGTATGAATTGTGCGTGCGTATTTATAAATACGTAGTATTCTGTAAAGTCATAACTTTTGCCTGTGACTTGTCAGAAAAATTCGACATTTCTTCCATCACTTACTCACCACTCCTCGAGCACTTAAGGCTGCCTGTCGTCAAATGCCGTAAGGACATTGCGAAAAAGTATAAAAACTGCATATATGTAAAAGTTAGAGTTTTACCATTTTGATACTTAAGTAGCTTTGTGTGCCATTGCGCACCCATTCGCCAAGTAGGCGGGTGTGCCTTGTCTGCGCCTGAGTCGTTAGGTTAGATGCCAACAATTTGCTCATCAAACACAAAAGAGGCAGGCAAAACAAAGTTTGTCCAGCACTTTAAATTTTTAATAGGCCAGCGTTAGCGCAATATTTGTTTTTTAACTTTTTTCTAGTTTAAGGTTTGCGTTTCTGTATGTTTGTTTTACTATTATTTCTGCGTGTCTCCTTGATAACAAGCAAGAACGTTGCGCATAACGTCCTTTGAATTCAGCAGAGTAAATGTCCTTTTTATCTACCTTTACATGGTATTTAGTTGTTGAATAAAACATTAGTACTGGCTACATGTCGCTTTTGGTTTTTTTTGTTTTTTTTTGTTGTATATAAGCTAGTAATATGAACCTCAGCGAAGGATCCCTTCAGTGAAGTTCATCTTTTTGATGTTCGCTTATTCGGTCTAACTACATAAAAAATTAGAATGTTTTATTTGGTTTAAGTCTAACACAATAGAGACAAAAAGAAAACCTGCGGCAACGCAGCTGCTTGCCCAGCTTCTGAGACATAAAATTATGATTTAAATTTCATTTTGAAATTTTAAAATTTCTTTTATGTGAAAAGTGTGCACAAAAATATATGAGACGGACGAAAATGGCTAGCAGGGCGTTCTTTTGGCAGCGAGTGAGTGTCGGTAAAAATCGTACAGTAATTTTTTTCCCCTTTTTTAATTTATTGTTTAATTTTATTAACTTTTAATAAAAATATAGTTCACTCTATATCAAAATACATTAAACTTAAAGTTTCTAACCTTGTAACATTCAAAAAAAAAATAGTAAAATTTTCATCAAAACTTTACACTTTTATTCAGGGTTTCGAGAATTTTTTTGGGTATGCAATTTTACAGCCCATTCGATTTTAGCATAATAAAGTTTGAAGTCGCTCTAAATACCTTTGATTTTTGAGAATTTTTTCGGTGACGCATTTTTGCACTTTTTTCCATATAAGCATGCATTTCTTATGAAATAAAATGCGGCAGCGTGTTCGCAACAAAATTGAAATTTTGAATTTTTTATAAAGTTTGAAATGGTCATTTATTTGGTTTTGGTTAAATCTTCGACAATATTTTTATAGAAAAAAATTAACTCGAAAAACATTACGAACATTAAAAAAAACCACACGTGGTCATTTGTTTGAGTCACTGTATATTTTTTGCTTAAAAATAATAAAAATTAATAAATACAGAAAATCGACTTAGAAAAATATATACATTTTATCAAAAAATAAAGAAATGGTACTTAAAAATTAAATTAGATTGAAAATGGCCTCATTAAAATAAGAAAAAAAAAAAAACAATTAAAAAGTAATAAGATCCTAAAAATTAAATGAAATAAAAAAATATAAAATATATTGCAAAACCGCCCACCGACCAGTTGCAAAACCACCTAAATCGCTGTTCTGGCAAAGGGGCGGAGGAGGTTTAAATATTACTTAGGTGCCAATAAGTTCCTTACATTTGCATGTTCGAGTTCCTGTTAATATTCGAGAGTTTTTCTCACTCACGCCAATGATTTTCCAAATTTTAAAGGCATTCAAATTTTCTTTTCATGCTCGCGCACACAACCAAGGTCTTAACGCCTTGCACACACAGCAACAGCTGCCAAACGTTAAATGTCATGGCCACTTTGCCGTTACGCATTCCAAGTGTCGAATTTTCATAGCCACCAGAAACAGCTGAGTGGAGAGCACTGCAAACCGCTTCTAGCATGTACAAAATGGTAGCAACAACAGCAAGCGTAGAAGAAAATTTGTAAGAAAATATTA